GGAAATTCAATGAAACTGAATCCTCTTTTTATGGTGTACTGTGTATATGGCAATGAGGTTTTTTTGGCCTTTTTGTATTTAAGTTCAAAATGAATAAATAAAGTAAAATAACACATATTACTATATGTACAAAGTAAAAAGAATGGCATTCTAAATACTAAGGTGGTAAGTGATTTTTGCTAAGGGCACAGAATAAACAAAATGCAAATATTATAAATCTAGCACTTAGCACAGTTCCTGGTACATGGTAGGTGCTTAATAAATGCTAGCTGGATCACTGAAAATGCAAATTAATAAATGTCCAAAGAAGCAAATGATCTTGAAATGACATAACTAATAATATATTAAGTCAGTAATTAAGCACACCCTCCAGAGTAGGCACCAATAAACTACAATTTTATCAAGCACACAGCTCTGGTACCTTACTTTTGGGAGAAAGTGGAAGAGCAGAGATAACCCAGATTATGCCACATATAATACCTCATGTTTATGTACTAGTTTACACTTTTCAAAGAACTTTCATATATATAATATATGTGATGTACACACATATATTTCTCATTTTCCCCTCTTATAGGTGTTAGTAGGCAAGGTTGGGTAGAAAGAGATTAGGATTTGGAATTAGATGACCTGGGACTGGATTCTGAAATAGCTACTTAACTACCCATATGATGGTACTAGTGAGTATTATAGTTTTCATCTGTACATGTGGAATAATAATTCAGGGAAGGGAATAAACATCTATACCAGGCACTGTGCTAAGTACTTTACAAATATTATCTCATTTGATCCTCACAGCCACTCTGAGAGGTAGATACTGTAATCTTTATTTTACATTTGAGGAAATTGAGGCAAATACAGGTTAATTGACTTGCCCAGAGTCACACATCTAGTAAGTGACTGAGGCTGAATTTGAATTCAGGTCTTCCTGACTCCGTGTCCAGTGCTCTATCCACTGTACCACCTAGCTGACTACTGAAGTAGTTTATAAACATTAAGTGTTCCAAACATGGGATATTTTTAATGTCATTATATGTTATTAGTCTCATTTATCAGAACAGAAAAATAAAGCACAAAGAGAGTAAAGTACTTGCCCAAGGTGACAAATTAAATCGGCGGTAGAATTCAGACCTGGGTGTCCTGTTTCCTAACCCTCCACTTTTTTCCCTATAAAGAAATGATCTCTCTCTTCAACCTAAGAACTTTGAAACTCAAACATCTCAACGCGTATTGACTTTAGAAAATATATAACACTCACTAGGATAGTTTCCTATCCTTAGCTTATAATCAGGTTGGTTTTCTCCAAAGCATAGATCATAGAATCAGAATATAATTGTCTAATTAAGATACAATAACTTATAGGTTTAATACAGTAACAAATGGTGATTTACCTGTATCTACAACATATTTTTTCCCTTGTAATTCTTCAAACATACCCACACCTACACAGAAACTTATGTATGGATCCCCTTCATGTTTTCTTTTACTAACAACTTTCTTCTTAAAGGCATAAGAAGAAAATGCACAAGTGTTTTAAAAGGCATATGAAGAAAAAGAGGAGGGGGTGAAAAGCAGTCAGAAAAATACATAACTTCACATTTGTATCACTCTCCTAAAAGACAGAGAGATCCAAAGGCAGATATACCTGCCTTTTAAAATACCAGGTAGACAGCTATTTAACAAAACAAACAAACAAAAGAACCAGTGGTTAAGTGACACAGTGATAAAAGAGGTGGTATCAGTTTCCAGGAAAACCTGGGTTCTTCTGTCCTTACACATACTGGCTGGGTGACCACGAACAAATCACGACCTCTCAGTGCTCTGGGGCTAGGCAACTAAGACTATTTAGTATTCCAGAAGGTGCCAGCCAACATTGGTAGAGGGAGTTTCCTCATCCCAGGAGTTCTCTATGCCAATGAAATCACAGGTCCAATTTCTATCCCTATCCCTTAATAAAGTTAAGAGATACAAGCAATACCCATCCTTAATAGCACCTAATAAACATTAAAAAATATACAATTGAATATTTCCTTCACTTCCTTTACTCAGTCCCTTCACTACTAATGATATCAACCCCCCAAGTCATTCTCCATCATTCTCATTTCCCTAAGAGTATGCACCAAAGGAAAAGAACTAGGGAGTCTTGAATTCTCTAGGAGCCCTCGGCTTTAATGTTTGTTAACAAAAACCTGTAGATGCTATTTTTATACCATCACAATGATTTAATAACAACTTCTACCTACTTAATAGGAATCTTCCTCTACATGAAACATAACTTTAGACGTGTCTTCCTTGTTTCTTGGCAGTGAAAATGTTGGTCTGCTAAGTAAATCTATCCCTAAAGTACCTCATTAATCACCATATACTTGTTCTTGGCAAAATACATGCTACAAAAACTGTTATTAAAGTAGGATTTGGGGATTCCCAGGCTGGCAGGTCATGTTATTATTTAGTCACACTTTTCTAGAAGTAATTTTCTTACAAAGTCCATTATTATTAATAAAATTATCAAAGGTGCTGTTCCAACCAACTTCATTAGCTTTTTGAGAAATCTATTATCTTCCAGGCTATTTGAACTGCAAACTGGTAAAGGCCAAGATAACACTTTTACATAGGACCTTCTGAAGCTTCCCACAACTTTCCCAGAGGAGGGGGGAAAAAAGAGCAATTCCTTTTTTGTTGTTGTTGTTGGTGTGGATCTAGCACCCCTTTCTAATTCCTCAGGAACTGCAGCATACTCTCAAAATGCACATGGCAAACTTTACTCTAGTTATACTGATGTCTAGAAAGTTCTTTTCCCACCTATTGCTACTACTAAAAGATATCTTTGGGTTCATTCACGATGAACCTATTACTGTTTTTAAGAAAATTAACAAAACTATTTTGAAATTAATGGGGAATGAATGGCTGCTTTAAACAAGGGTGAAGCTTCCAAAAGTTATTGTAAAGGAAATAATATGATGTAGGACAACACTTAGAAATACAATGGACATATTATAATTTAGCAGCTGCAAATATTCTCCTCATATTCAATAATTTACCTTGAAATTCGTAAACCTGTAATATTTTTTTTTTAATTAAGAAGCAACTACAGAATATTCGGAGTGTATTCCTGCTAAATTCCTGCTAAATTGGTATGCTAATATATACCAATGAATTTACTAAGATCTGTAATGTTACTAAGTGTTTACCAACTTAGGTTGAACACCCAAAACACAACTAATATGTCCATTATTTAAAGTAAAACATTTCTAGAAACACATGTGAATATATTGCAATTTAAAGACCATTCAGAATGATCACTTGTGCTTTTTGTTGTAATTATGATGCAACAACTTTCTTCTTGGAAGGTATTAAGGATAACAAGTGAAGTTGGTGGAGGTAAGCTAAACAAGATTTGGGTCTAGTTCAGTCTTGGACTATAAAAAATTGTCACACACAAAGTGCAGAGCTCCACCTGGTCAAACTCATGAATCACATACTAATTCAGTTTCTTCTACCTTCTTATTGGAAAAATGTTTCAGGCTAGTATGCCAGTGCTCCAACAATAGTGAGAGCTATGTTTGGATGAAAATATTTGGGAAGCACTTCCCTTAGACAGTACATACAAAAATTCAGGCAAGCAACCTTTCAAAGAAAGATTCAAGAGGACATAAGGAATGCATTGATAACTTTCTCTACAAGCATCTCTTTGTAAAACTGATTTATAATTTCATTTGGAAGTGGGGAAAAGGCAGGAAAGGTGAGCTTTCTGCAGCAATATTAAAATGGCCAGATACACAAAACTGCAGTAGGAAAAGGACTGAAAGGATGAATGGACCTTGTGGGGAAAACAGTAGTAAACCAGTGGAAGGTTTTAAATGCCGAAGGGAAAAGTCAACATTTGCTTCTAATCATTTTCTCATTAAGCATTCACTTGCTAGCTGGTGAGGGTTTTGCTTAAACACACACTTTATATTGACTTAGAGCCAGGATGGTGCTGCTGGAAACAACTCCTGCCTGATCCCTTGCCCAAGCGTCTGAAGCAGCTCATGCCGCTTCAGGAAGCATCTTATTAATATCAGATTTGGAGAAGACTGAGCCCCCCAATGCAGAGCTCTGCTATTATAAGGCTTGCGAATATTCCACGTTCCAACATCACCGCTACACCCAGTCGCAGCCGCTAGAACGCGCAATTTTTAGTCATTATTATTATTATTATTTCCGATTAGGCAGCTTCTCTCCAGACCTTGGCTAACTTCTCTCTGCCAGTAACGGGCTGTATGTCCCAATACATTTGTTGTCCTGTGGAGGTGGTGAAGTCGGCTTCCGGGCTAGACTAAAGTCGAGCAGCTTTTCTCGCTTAAATACCAGCTTTTCCTTATTGAGCGTTAATGATTACTACTGAGGTTCCAAGTCTTCTGTTTCCTACATCTCTGACACTTCCTCTCTCTCTTTCATCCGCCTCTAGACCTCTCCCTGCCCAGCAATCCCTCAAGCCTTTCCTCTTCAACTCTAGCTTTCAGGTCACTGGGCTTGCTTCCCTACCTTATTCAAGAGTTTCCGTTTTAGCAGCACCAAACCCTCCTACCCCCGACTCACTATCTGCCTCTCACACATCCTGCCCAGCAGATGCTGAGGAGAGAAGCACAAATACTGCCTGGCATGAGAACGGGGCAAGTTCAGGAGTATAAAGAACCTGGGGTCAGAGTGAGGGGGAAGCGTGTGTGTGTGTGTGTGTGTGTGTGTGTGTGTGTGTGTGTGTGTGTGTGTGTGTGTGTGTGAAGGGTGTGAGAAAAACAGGTTCAGGGTTCTTGGATGGAGGCGCGGGCAGTGGGCGGGGGAGAGCGCGCTTCCCGGGGCGCGGGGCACATGGCCACATGCACTCCCGGAGCAGTAGTGTGTGCGGAGGAGGCACGACGCGGGTGCCACCCACAGCACGGTACTGCACTGCAAGGCTCCCCGCGTCCGCCGCCTGCTGGCAGCGCAGACCACAGCGGCATGCCTTGGGGGGTACTCACACGAACGCGTGGTAGATGAACGCCCACCCTCGGGGTCTCTCCAGTACGTTGTACAGATAATTCTGCAGCCGCCGATACTTGACGTTCCTCCGGCAGCTCTGGCTACTGTTGTAAGCCAGCGGCTTCCCCAGCAGGCTCATCCGGGCTCCGTGCTTCGCCCGGCGGTTCTCCCTAAAGCCGCCACCGCCGCCGCCGCCGAGCGCGCCGGCGCTGGTGCCCAACAGCAGCAAGCCGTCCCCGCGGGCAGCCGAGTTCAGGAGCACGCGGCCCCGGCCCGCCTCCACATCCTTCATACCCGTAGCCAGGCGCCCCCCGCCCGCTGCCGCGCTGCTCTTCAGCCAGAGCCCGGCGGAGCCGCCCTCATCTCCTCCCCCGTGGTTGCGGGGCATGGCATCACCACGGGCGCGGGGAGGGGGGCGCCTGTGGCGGGGGAAACGGTCTCATGCGAGCGGGACGGCGTGGATGGAGCCCCCGGCTGCCCGCCTGCCCGACCGCCGCGGCCTGGGGGCGGGGAAGCAGCCAGCCAACAAACCTCCTAGGGTCAGGGGGTGGGGAGGGAGGGCGAGCCAAGGAGGAAGAGGAAGAAAGTGTCAATCGCTCCCAGGTCTGGGGGGCCACACACGATCAGTGTGGACCTGGTCTTTGTGCCTGTCACTTTGAGGGCTCTTGAGGATTTGGGGCTTTTTTCTTTTCTTTCATAATCCTGTCGCCTCCCCTAACTGCCTCCAGAGAGGGAGAGAAGAAACCCAGGGCTCCCGAAATGCAGGAACTGGCACGCACAGACGAGCGGGCGAGTACACTGACCCCGGTAGCGTCCCCACCAGTTATCCCAGATTGGGTCTTGAGCCAAGTACTCGACTGTGGAGGCTGACCCCGTACCCAACGGTGTGCTCCTTCGATTGATTTGGGTGGGTGCTCTCAGAAGAGACAGAGGCAGGACCAAACAAACAGGAGGCTGATGGGGAAGGTCTTCTGCCTCCCTCAGCCTCTCTGTGCCTCAAAGCTAGGGAACTAGGCAACAGTAAAGGTCCGTGTGCTCGACGTGCCTCTGCTGGCTACGCAGCGCAGTCGGGTATGTCCATCCTTAGGATATAGGCTTGAGCGTGAAAAGCCCTGCCCTGCCCTACCCCAGGCCAGCCTACTCAGGTACTGAGCACAGACCTGGAGCGACTGGTGAGAAATAAAGGAAGGGCTGATGCGAGAAGGGCTGCTGTCCAAGTGTGGGGTTCCCCGCGAAGCCCATAGAGCTAGCTCCCCGCCGCCCTCCGCCCCTAGTTATTTCGCTTTACAAAAAGAAAGACAGGAAGCTATGCAAAACCAAGCGCGGTGCAGAGCGCGCATCCACCGGGCATCTCCCCTGCGCTGTTTCTCTAAGCCCTGGCACAGTTGTTACTTTGTAGCCAAAAAGAAGACCACATAGCCGGGCAAGAAACTATCCATCCATCTCAGCCTGGGCGGGGGAGGAAAACTCCAAAGTGGTCCCGTCGGAGATGAAGAACCTCTGGCAATGACAACGAAGATAAGAGCTCCTGGTCACCAGAACCCAGGTTTCTCACGTCAAGAAATTTCCATTTAAGTCTCAGAAAGTCCTAAAGCCTGCCAAGTCGGTAGTGGCGGCGGCAGCAACCGAGGCTCCTAGGTCTGGGAGAAAGATCTGGGAGATTTAGGAGAACACGCACTTTCTCTTCTCTGCAGATGAGCCTCTAGCTTCTTGGATTCTCCCCCTCCCCCAGTCTGTGTATTGTTGCACTATTTATACATTGAGAAACATGTTGCAAGGAGGGATTTACTGGATTGCCCCGTACGCATTCACTTAGACTCCGAAATCCCACCCCCACTCTCCAGGTTGCGCGGAGATCCTCCTTTTCTCGGTTCCCAGTCCTCCCCCGCCCTTAAGGTTCTGAGAGCAGCGTTGAGAACGAGTTTATCTATAGTCTTTCTCTAATATACACACATACACCATTACGAACAGTATAGAAGCTGTACCAAAAGAAAGCCTTCTTCCTCAGGCTTGGGAACTTCCTCCAGCTTCAAGAAAAATAATCTCCAAGTGAAACTGACAGAAGACTCTAGGTTCCAATGAAATGGGGAGGGGAGGGCAAGAGAGAGCTTCTCTAGCTCTAAGATATCTATGTCTTTTCCAAAAAAAAAAAAAGTAAAGGTTAGAGAAGTCTGAGGCACAACTCTGCACTCTGTCCCCTTGCCTCCGATGAGACAAGCATCAATACACACTCAGCTGCCCATACCCACTCCAGCCACGCCGGTTTGCCCAGTGGGGCAGGAGATTCCCTTTACCTCTTGTCTTATGTATTGTTGGGGCTGCTGTGACAAAGCCCGGAATGAAGACTGACCCAGCACTGGGTACTTTTGTCTCCAGTCCGAGCCTCTCAACTCAGGTTTTTCCCTCAGCCCTCCTCTCTCCGCAGCCTCTTAGCTCCAGCCCCACATCACACTCTCAGAGCAGCACAGTTCGGGTGGCAAGGATGCCACGTGACTCTGCTGAACACCAACACTCAGACACGCTCTTTCCTCTAAAACACAAAACACCCACACGCCGAGGAGGTGCTCAGGAAACTGACTAGTGCTCTGATATTGAAGGTAGATGTAGAAGGAAATGGAGGTAGGGCTGGGGGTGCAGTGTCCTAATGCTATAGCGGAAGCATTTTCCTATATGTAGACCCCCATTTCAGGACCTGTATAGGAAACTTGGGAGTGATATGTCAGAAACTTAAAATGACTCCTGTATGTGCTTAAATTCTGTGGGATCGTTCTTCTCTGCACTGATCTTAAAAAAAAAAAAGAAGAAGAAAAAGAAAAAAGAAAACCCAAAAAACAAACAAACCCCCCCCCCAAACCCCAACACCTCCTCTTAATCCCAAACCACTTTACTCCTCAGACTTCATCTGTGAAGAACTCGGCCATCTTCTTCTAGGACCTTGCACTGAGACCCCTCAGTTAGAACATCGAGATCCTGACGTGGACACCTGTTTCCTGTCAAGTAAAAGCTACTGATTCAGGGCCCTGAGGAGTGCTCAGTAGTTTCATAATCTGCTTCATGGAACTTAAAAAAAAAATCTCGTAATCAACTACAATTTTTGCATATGTTTAATACTCCCCCCCGTTTGAAAAAAATTTTAGGTGTTTTTGAGGTGAATCATTTCCACCTAACGTGAAGCTGTATAGAAATGAAATAACAGATGAATTAAACTACAGAGGCCCTTCTTCTAAGGGAATTTTGGTGGGATAGCTTTATTTTAAGGCAGACTTCCCCACCCCATCCCCCACACACCCCCCATCCTGCCCAGGGCAGAAAGAATCTGAGTTAGTGAGATTTAATAAGCTAGACAAGCATTTTTGGAGCTTGAAGGGCTCCGGCATTGTCAAATTCAAAGATCTGTGATTTCATCCAACTAGTCTGTATCTCATCTGCATAAGTCTTAGAGGAAAAAAATGTCAGGCTCAGAGATTAAGCTATTTACTTATGATCACACAGATATTGTGTTAGATGTAAGATTTAAAGCTTTTCTGGCTCAGAGACCAGTACTTTAGTCCAACACATTGCCTCTCATTACTGAAATAATGTCTTTTAATTGATCTGGTGACAGAAGAAGAATATGCATATTACAAGACATAGGGAATGTATTTGTGATTTCACTTGTTTATTGAGTTTCCCTTTGAGATTACTTCCTCTACCTATGCAGGTCAGCACCTTCTTCAAATTTATAGGCTTAGAAAGATGCTAGAGCACTCAGAGGATAAGGCCATGCCTAGGGTCACACAGTTAGTATAGATCAGAGATGGGACTTGAATTCAGGTCTTTCTGATTCCCACATCAACTATCAATCCACTAAACTGCCTCACTTCACATTAAAGCGTATTTAAAATAACAACAAAATATGTAGTGTATACTCTGTGTGTATTTATACTATTAAGACAATAATTGGAAATACACCATGGTATAGTGGATAGAGCTGGCAGTAGAGTCAGTTTCCCTCAGTGCAAGTGGCCTCTGGTACATATCTGGCTGTGTGACCCTGGACAAGTCACAAAACCTCTCAATGCAATCTAGGCAACTCCTCCAGACTAAAATTTACTAAGCAGGTACCAGTCTGACCTAAATTGGTGGAAGAGTTCTCTGTCCACTCCCATCCCCCACTTCCCAAGGCAGATAACAGGGCTGACCAAAAACAAAAAATATCAATTAAAATAGACCAAAAGGAAAATGTCTCATGTTTTCTGAAGGAATATTTCTCCCCACTCAACAGAACATGAGCTTTAATATATTGGTGTTTCCCCCCTAATAAAGGTGATGAATTTGCTTAAAGACTCTCTCAACAAGTTCTCCCTTTGGCCAAAATACACTTATTTGTGTATTTTGTCTGTGACCCCAGAGTAGTTTTCCTCTATTTGAGGTCCTTATGAAAATGGAATCAATTCCTTGTCTACTTAGCAATATGTGCTGTTACTGTGTTAATCAGTCCAGAAATATACATTACAAATTAGTAATGCTAATTTTTAGATATATCCAGAGACTTATTCATTGATAGTGTGTGTTTACAGGTAAACAAAGATAATTACTCTCACTGGAATGAATAAATATTACACACACACACTCTCACAAGCAATGCCAGTCTCAACATATGAAGTTTTCTATTGGTTAAACATATTAAATAAAATAACAACTACTGCTAAAAATCTAGATGTGAAGCTGTAGGTTGTATAAATTTTGGAGACACGAGTTTTACTTGTGTGTATATAACTTTTGGAAGTATACGTAACTAGGCAGAACAATGGACATAATGCTGGACTTTGAGTCAGGAAGACTAGTTCAAAACCTGCCTCAGACACAAGCTATGTGACCCTGAGTAAATCAGTTAACCTCTCAGCCTCAGTTTCCATCTATAAAGTGGTGATCATAGAATCCCCTACTTTACAGAATTGTGAAGATCAAATGAGATATGTAAACTTTTTGGCAAACCTTAAAGCATGTTATAAATGTTATTAGATATTATAAGCTATTTTTACTAGTGTATCTGGTATTCCATCTTCTACTGCAAAGTAAGTGGGGGAAAGATGGAATATTTAAGAAATCAAGGGAAATAGTTTATTATTCTCTTTGAAAAGTCAATAGAAACATGCTTTTTATCAAAACATTTTCTTTTCCAATGAAAATCAGGTTTATGAAAGGAAGATTTCACATTCCACCAGATTTTCTTCTCAGGAATATTCAGAAATAAGGATCTTGAATATTCTGAAGGTGTTAAAATGTATAATAAAACATTTCATTGCCCACCAGAGGGTGCCAAAATATACTGGCATAGATCTGTTCCACAAACACATCCTCAGATCAAGCTGCTGACCACATTACTTCAATGTAAATGTCACTCTTTTCCCCCAAAGTCAGTGACCAGAATTCTGTTCAGCCTGTGGCTGATAGAGTCATATTGATTGAGAGCTACCTCAAGAGGTCTGGAAGGACCTAAGTTTTATTGCTGGGAAAGGGAGTTTGTTATAAAAGCCCCTTCTCCATGAAGTTTCAAATCTACACAAATAACAATGCCAAAGAATTTTGGAGATTGGAGAGATTTTGGAATCCTTCTAATGCAATCTCACATTTTAGAGACAAAGAAAATGAAGTAAAAAGGTTAAATGGCCTTGCTCTAGACCACATGGTTATTTAGAAGTAGATGATGGAGCATTAGAACATAGATCGCCTGACTTTTTGTCCTTATAAATGCATGTCACAATTTGGACTATAGACATGTTTTGTCCACTTGGGCTTTATATTATGTGGGTGACCAGGTCAAACCCTATTGAGTAATTACAGAGTTCTGAAAACAGTCTCTACAATGTTACAGGGATAGGTGTAACCATACATCCAACCAACCAATCAACTTGCCCCCTTGGCTTATTTTTGATTGGTCAGATGATACTCAAATCGATCTGTGATCTCAGGGATTTTGTTCTTTCTTCCTATGATGAAGGATATAACCCATCTATGCCTGTCCATGTTGGAGCCATGTTTGTATCCTCCTATAAGTTCCTGTCAGGTAGTTCACCTATCTTGCTTGTCAGAGGCCTTCTGACATTTCTCCTGACATTGTGAAGATCCCAACTCTATAGACTGACTTATCTAAATGTGTCTCATAATTTGGCTTATAGACATTTGTTCACCCACTTGAATTTTATGGTGTTGATTGGTCAACCCAAACTCTTTCAAGTAGTTACAGATCTCTGATAAAAGTTTCTATATTTTGGTGCTAGATGCAACCATTCAAATATCATTTGCAAAAAGGAGTATCTTGAAAGACCTATTCCTTCTCAGGAAATCCTCATTAAACTTGGACTCTACTCAAGAGAGAATATAATCAATTCAAATTTAGTTTTCACTCTAAAGACACAGGGCTTTCCCATGTTGATCTCCCTTATAGCCTTTTCCTAGTATGATTTCTTAAACTCCCTGTACCAGAGTAGGTAACCCAAGCCTGCCTCTGTGTCAGACTTGTTCTCAGTTTCTCTATCCCAAGTAGCCATTCAGCCTCTAGAATCAGACTTTTATCCATGTATGCAGGATATAGAAATTACCTTAAATGGTCTAGACTTTAGACCTTTTCAATTACAGTGTTCTCATTCTATGTTCCTCTTCTGATGGTGAGATACTCACAGAGCAGGGAATGAAAAAGGGAGCAGCTGAATTTCCACTCCTTAGCTGCCCCAAAAGGGAGGATATGAGGCTCACGGAAGAGAAAGAGAAGGAAATGATGTAAATCCCAGCAGCAGGCATGATTTGTAGATTTTTGTTGTTCCTGTTGTGGGTTGTGCAGAGATAGAGAAAAGGGAAGACAAGACGGCAATGGTATAGGGCAGATTCTTTCTATAGTTGACCTGCCTTTTGACATTTCACTGCCCCACTAGCAATAAATAAACCACAAGAAAGTACCAAAGTCTTATACATCTCAGCTAATGAGTACAGAATCATTTGAAGAGGATAGGAGGTTCCTGCTTGTGACAGACTCATGAGCATAAAGCTTCATCATTTGGAGCCATTTATAATTTCTCAGGCTGACTTGAAGGTTTGACTATCCAGAAGTTTGTTGGTGGGAAAACTTTCGGATGTCTGTTAAATCTGAATTTTGGGAGAGCTATATTGAGTCTAAATGCTTGAGCGATGTCTGAGGTCTCCTGGATTCTGAGTAATACCTATAGACTGGTTAACAGTTGCCTAGGTTTGGGAGGTGTGTTATTATCTAATTGATTTTATTCTTTTGGTTTTACTTCTTTGATGATAAGTAAATAAACTTTAAGTCAAATCAAAGTTATGTGGTAGTCTCTATTTTATCATGTTGAAATGATAGAATTCAACTAATATGTTTTGCATGATCACATATGTGTAACCTATATCAAACTACTTACCATCTTAGGGAAGGGAGAGAAGAGGAGGGAGGGAAAGAATTTGGAACTTAAATATTTTAAAAAGAATGTTAAAATTGTTTTTACATGTAATTGGAAAAAATAAAATCTTA